TTAAAAGGTGCTTGAAAGCTGTTTGGGAGCATTGAAAAGCATTCTGTCAACTGATACTCTGTGCAGATATCGAAACTATTGTCTGTTGATGTAGATATGACAAATGTTAATTTATTTGGTTTGATTGTTGTTTTTTGTTTTGTTTTTGTTCTGGCAGGGTGAGGAAGGAGATCTGGGGGAAGCAGGTTACCCAGGAGACTCTGGTTTTCCAGGCCCACAGGTAACTAAAAACTTCCAAGTTGTTTTTATGTTAGCTATGGAGAAGATGAGTTGCCAGTCTTGATCTTTTGTTTTTCTTTTGGAATGTTTTCTTTACTTCAATTACTGAATATTATGAGTAAGATTGTTCCTTGGCAAATCTCCTCTGTAACCCTGAGGAATTAAATGTGGCAAGTTTCTCTTTTGGTTTATGTTGGTGCAGCTTCTAGTGAAATGAAAAAATGAAAGCAAATAGCAGGAATAAGTAACTTAACTGACACACCTCTAGCTCATAGGATATTATCAAGCAGATGTCTTCAAAATGAACTCATTAGAAATTTCTAGCAATAAGTACATAAATTCTATTGCATTTTTTAATATACTGTATTTGCAGGGTGCATTAAAACGATGAAAATGATATACTGATTGACTAAACCAGTGAGGAAAGCTTTGTGTTTTAAAAATTTGCTTGGCTAAGTAATTTTGCAAATAATTATGGTGGTAGACTACTTACATTAGCTTCCAGTTCTAAGAGGCTTTTAGATGCTCTAAAGATGCTCTTATCTTTAAGTTTTAAGGCATCTGGAGGAGGTGTACCTAGTTGATAGTGGGTTGCTTATGGCTTCTTTAGTATCTTCAACAGCACAGTGGCTCTCTGAATATCGCCCTCAAGCAGTGACCATCTCAGCTGTATTGCACAGGCAAATCCTTGCAACCAGTCAGAAGTTTCACCTGTGCATTAAGATTTGTGAAACAGAGGCTTGGATTCTGGTCATTGCAGCAATCTTATCTTCATTGAAAGGCTATCAACATTGAATTGATTTTCATTTTTTTTCAATGGTGTTTTTACTTCAGGGCCCAAGAGGACTACAGGGGATCAGAGGACCTCCAGGACCACAAGGCATGCCAGGCCCTCTGGTTAGCTTTGAATAATATATTCCTGCTGTACACATTAGGGCTTTTCATTTTCAGTGTTCATATTATTCTTATAAAGAGTTTTGAAAATACTTCTAGAAAGAATAAACTGAGGATTTTTCACTTTAGTGCTTAAGGAAACTGATTTGCAGCCTCCTGATAAAATAGCAGCCTTGAAAATAAGTTTATAGGTGGGTGAATAGGAAGTGAATTTCAGTGTTACTAAGCTTTTGCATGATTGCAATGAAAAGCCTTAGCTCTAGATTCCACTCTCAGTTCTACAGTGTAAGGACTAACAGCATGGCTTGCAGCATGTAAAAATCCAGATGTGGAGTGGTGTAATTGAGGGCAAAGTTAGATAATGGTCAGTAGTTTCATTAAAGTATGGCCTGTGAGATTTAATGCTAGGGTATGGTGAGGTGGTGACTATTGAGCACTGATTGCTGATCTTCACTTGTGTGATGCTGTTGATTTGGGGTTTCTTATTCTGGAATTACACCAGTGTAATTCACAGCTGAAATGTCGTACTCTGTCAGCCTTGGGCATCTGCTTCACTTATGTAATGTTCCCCATGCTTACACACCCATTTTTCTGTGTGTATATATATTCATATTGTTTGTGCATATATGGATGTATTCACTAGGTATCTGTGTAGATAGAAAATAGAGTTCATGTCATAATAACATTTTGAGAATTTTAAAGCAATCATACAGAAAACAGGAAATAACTGGAATGATAGTTTGACCAGTAAGTCTTACTGTGGTCCTCAAGAGGCTGTTATATTGATTCTGTAATAATTTCAAGCAGCAGCGAATCCTTGAGTGCAGTGAGCCCTTGAGTCTTCATTGTGCATCTTTTAATTGATACTTCTGATTACAGGCTACTCTGGGGGCCCCAGGTTCACCTGGCTCTGTTGGGAAGTTAGGTGCAAGAGGAGCAAAGGTAAAGATTTTTAAGGTACCTAATTGCAGCAATCTAACAGCATCTTTCATTCAAAAATGTGACTGAAGAAGCATGAACTAACACTTGTGTTGTTCCTATGGAACGTGGAAAGAATTTTAAGTTTTATAGACATTTTCTCAGTTGCATAGGAAAGCAAGTGATGTGTTCAAGGTAATCTTACAGGTGTCAGAGCTATAGTAAGAAGCGTTGGCATTACTGCTGTTCTAATTGCTGTTGTGGTCATGGTTCTCAGTGAGACCTAGCTTCTCACAAAATGCAGTAAGGATATGGTGGTGTTGACCCTTGAGTTTGTTTTGTGATTCCTAGAATCTGTCCAATCCACTGAAAATATGTACCAGCTAATAATAGAATCTAATAATAGAATTGAATATCTCAAGTTGGATCCGTAAGGATCGTCAAGTCCCACTCCCTGCTTCTCATAGGACTGCCTAAAACTAAACCATATGTCTGAGTGTTGTCCAGACGCTTCTTGAAATCTGACAGGCTTGGTGCAGTGACCACTTTCCTGGGGAGCCTGTTCCAGTAACCGATGTCCTTCTCAGTGAAGAACCTTTTCCAAATGTCTAATCTGAACTTCCCAGTTCAATGAAGCATGGCTACTTATTTTAACCTTCTTGTTCTAAAGATTCCTGACCAGTTCGAGGAATCTGGACTGTTATAGTGTCTGTTAGACAGGAATGAATGTGTTGAGAAGAACAGAATCAACATGAAGTTAAACAGAAAGGCTTTTACTAATAAGTGGTCCAAATTATGATTCACTTATGATGAATGTTATCACTTACTTTCCTTTCATTAATGTGTGTTGATATGGGAGACTTTATTTAAAAAAAAAGAACTCATTTTAGGTGTTGTTGCACCTCTGAATCTAAAAGGCGTAAATAATATCAGTTAGCTAAGCCTTTCGGTCTTTTTGAGGGGTTATTATATTCTGCATTTTATTACGTTCAGTGACAGAGAGGTATCAGAAAGTCAAAGTGCTACTATGAGAAGAGTCACTGTGTGAAGAAGTCCAGTGAAACAATGACAAAAACTATGAAGAAACATCCATTCCATTTTCTCAGTCTGGTTTTGTGCTGCTTAATATTGGGGTTCTTGTTAGAAGAATGTTCATTAAGAAGGCGAAAACGAAAGAAAATTTGCAAATGGACTAAGAGCACAGTGCAGACAGCCTGCCTGAGAAATATCATCTGCTATCAACACATGCTTCAGGCTGGTAGAATTCCAGGCTATGTCCTGCTACCATTAATACAACTTTTCTTAGAAAACTCTTTTTTTACTGGCAATTCTGTAACAATGAGAGTTTTATTGAATGAAGGCCTCTGAGGTTTAGCTACATGAATGCTCAGCATATTCTGATTTGCCAAGTACTTTACAGTTTCACTCCAAGGAACCTTCCATTAAACATGGTCTATACTGGAATGCTTTTGAACAACACCAAGTAGTCTCTAAAATATACAAGCACACTTCAGATAAGCAGACAAGTTTACATTTCAGAAAGAAGAATTTTTCTGAATGAGCCAAACTAATGTCTTTTTTGTTGCAATTATAACAGGGTGAACCTGGTGACCCTGGAGAGAAGGGCCCAGTGGGACCAGCTGGACAGAGAGGCATGCCTGTGAGTCTTTCTGTCCTAATTCAGGGCTCTTGTAGTTTTATATCCATCCATCTGAATCAGTACAGTTCATTCCCTTCTGTTTTCTTTATTTGACACAATTACAATTATTTCACATTCGGTTTTCATTTTCCATATGGGCACCAGATTCCTTGTGAGTTAAAGAGAATATCTTTCCCCTCAGGCTCTCTAGGAAAGAGAAAATATGCAAGGGGTAGTGCCCACACTGGAGAGGAACTGTGGCCTTACTCCTTGTTTTCTCTTTACAGATTTTGCCACCATTTGCTAGTGCTTTTAGAATGTGTTGTGATAGCTTGCCGTCCTTTATCAGTCTTAACAGCCTGGGCACCTCATTGTAATGGGAGGTCTTTAGTCCAAAATGAAATTGAATATGAATCTAACCCTCTATTAAAAGCTAACTCATGGTATATTCAACCTATGCAGGGCATGGATGGCAGAGATGCCTACGGTCCTGAAGGAAGCAAAGGAGCCAAGGTGAGCACTTAGAGTCAAGATGTCTCTCAATCTCCATTCTGCAGTGTCGAATCAAACATGACCATCCATATACAATTCATAAGAAATGTAAGTCATGGCCACAGTGTATTTCTGAGGTTTGGTAAGAGGTTCAGGCTTCCCATAACCATCCTTGTGAGAAATTCTGCAATAGGGTATTCTTTTGAGAACCACTCTCTCTTAAATGTGTATATGTATGTATACGGATATGGGGGATTGTACTTCTTGGAGTATACAGTGTTTCCTCCTCACTTCAGTCTGCTTGACTAGCCACTCTGGTTGACAGGTATGGGTTGGCCAGCCACCTTGGGCTCTTTTAATTTTTCTTTTTTCAGAGGAGGGATTCCTTGGCTACCAAGGTGAGAATGATACTTTACAAACATCCTTGCTGTTTTAATGTGAAAACTTCTTCCTTGTGCTGTCATGGTTAGCAATAAGGTCTGAGAATTAACCTCTGGATTGCCACATATTTAGAAATTCTTATAATTCCCTTCACAACCCTGAAAAAAATAGCAGTGAAATGCCTAGTTCTCTAAAAACGTTCAAGAATCCAGCTAAAATAGAAAGTATACAGAAAGGATGAGGTCAAAATCATGGCACCAGTGGCACCAATGAGCCAGTCCATGAGTCTGTGCATGTAATTTCCTAGAAATTGTAGGATTAAATCATACGATGTTTGACAAGCATGTCCTCTTTCATGAGAGGGAACTCTTAAAACAAAGGCACATGTAAGTAGTGTGGATTCTGATAGTTGCTCTACTGTCAGTTCTGATTGGTCTTTGTGAGAGTTCTTATATTTCTCATATGCAAGCAAAGAATATACCGAAAACTGAAGTAACTGAAAGCAATTCATGAAGTGATTTCTAATATGTCAAGAAAATATTATGGTATCACTGTTCAGTTTGGAGGGTACAACGTTTTGAAACTGCATTCAAACACTGAGTTCTGAATGTTATACTTAGGATCACTGAACGTGAATTCCACTGTATGTTATTTGGAGGCCTACATAAGTTTTGATAAAACACTTATTTGAGAAATTGAATACTCTTGATAATTCAGAAACAGTTGGAAATGTTTAAAATGCTTGTCCTTTACATGAACAAAGTGTTAATCTAAAATGGCATCCTTTGAGACCAGAGTAGTAGCCACTGTTACTTGAATGGGGTGGAATGCTAAAAATAATTTTGCAATAGTTTTTGAGTTAAAGACATCAAACACTAAACAAAGTTCTAGATTCTTATGAAGTCTTTGTCCTTTGTTTTGGTAGGGAGAATCTGGATTCATAGGATATCCTGGTCCAGAGGTATGATTAAATGGGGATGTTTGCTTTCTTCATGTCTTGTTTTACATTATTCTTGTTTGGAAGCTGTTATCTGTATTTCTGTCTGTCTTCTCCTTTCCTATGAAGTTCTGGATTTCATTAATTTTCAGGGAGAAGATGGAGACCCAGGCATTCCGGGAGCTGAAGGACCCAAAGGAGTTAGGGGCAGAAGAGTAAGAATGAAATCTGTTAGCTCTGTGAAGAGTTCTATATATAAAGCCTTTCTCTTAAGTGTTTCCTCACCAAATTTTTTTCAAATTGGTTCCCACTCTGGTCTTTTATTGCCTGGGTAAGAGGTCTTGAGAGACAGCAGATCTAAGTCTTTAGTGATGTTAGTTGCTAATAATTCTTAGGGGTGGTAGTCTATATAAATGCAGGATCCAACTCACAATATAGTTACAGAGTTTTTTTCTCTGCTGAAATTCTGCACCTATGTATGCAATTATAAAGAATAAAACTTGTATTTCTATTTTTAGGGTAATGCTGGCACACCAGGTTCCGTGGGAGATCAAGGGGACCAAGGACCATCAGGACCTATGGTAAATATACCTTTTAATTTTAAAAAAATATTCTTAGATTGCTCTTAAACTTGCTATTAGATTAATGGAGTATTTAATAATGTTTCATCTGGTAGTCAGATGAAGTCAGCCTGACAGTTTGTATAGAGTTACACCTTGCCTGTGGATGTGTGTGCACAAGAGCACCTGCTGTTCACATATGCTACAGACAGACAGACCTTGTGTGCTGATGAGTCAGATAGCTGTTGGCCTTGTCAATCCATCATCCAAGAAGTCTTCAGAGAGTTTTCAAGCTCAAAATCTCCTCTTCAGATGTAAAAGTGAGAGTGGAGCTTGGTGGGATTACTGTAGTAGCAGTGCATCAGTGAAATGGGAAAGTGAGAATTCTGTGGAAGAGATAGGGATGCAGGGAACAGGTACAGGTAGTAGGCAGGGCCAGCCAAAACAGGCTGGTTTTACCCATCCTTCCTAACTTGGTAGCATGGTTATCCATATAGGTCAAGTCTACACAACTTGGTCACCAATAATAAGCTGCTGCAAGTAGCATTCATTAGGGCTCAGACAATTCACAGTTAAATGTTGCTGAACAGTGTCAAACAAGAACTGGAACCTGCTGAGAAACATAAGAAAAGAATGGAATGGCTGTAATGACAGCAGAGGAAGTGAGGAAGGTAGCTCAGACAGGAGATGGAGGAATAGATGGTTAATTGGAGGGGTAAGCAACAAATACAGAGATAGGGTTGTAATTTGGGGTTGGAAGGAGGTATATGTTTTTGATAAAATGTAGTGTTATGGTAGAGACAGGCTAAGGGAAAGGTTGTGGCACGTGGAGTTCAAATTTTTCTGGTGTATGTTGCTGCAGCCTGCTGCGAGTAAGTGAAAATTTTCAGTAGTCTTGCTATACATCTGAATGGTATTCACTATGAAAACTGTCAAGCTGCCTTGAAAAAAAGTTATTTTCCCTGTATTTTATTCCTGTTATTAAGATTAAACAATATTTTCATTTTGAAAGAAGATGCTTGGAATCCTGGCATTTACCCACAGCTCCCAAGGAGAAGGCTGCACAGTAGCCAAAGCTAGCTAGACTAGTTGAGCAATCACGATGTATGTATGGTCTGCAGAATCTCTAGAGGTAAAACTGTGGGGGTTGTAGCCTGCAAGAGAAGGGGGCAGGTCTATCACATGTCAGAGGCTGAAAAAGATGTAAGGCGCATCACTGAACCACAGCACAGAAATTGCTGTTTAGAAAGGAAATCCAATTCTGATGTCTCCTTGTATTTCAAATTCACAAATGGTTATCAGGGAAACATTGTATGCCTGCATTTTCTTTGGGTTACAGCGTCATATATAGAAATACATTATCAGAGTCTGATTTTCTGAACCTCTGTTTAATTTGTTTCAGGGTGCCAAGGGACCAATGGGCACCATTGTAATGGAAGTAAGTAAGTAACTTACAGCTAACTGCACACTGTATGGAACTAACAGTTTTAGTCTTATTCCATTTATAAGCACTGACTGCAGTGAGCACAATTAGCTGCTAGGAAACCATATGATTTTCAAATACTTGTCAGAGTGCAGTGGGTTCTTCTGTTCTGCAAATAATCGAGGAATGAGAAACAATTATGCATATGGATTAACACTCTGCCCAGATGTTTACAAACTGTTGAACTGTTGATATTCCTTTATCTCTCTCTTCTTTAACATCAGTTTACACACCAGTTCAGGTTTACTTTTCACTCTCTTGTAAAGGAACACAACTGTTTTCACTGGGAATAGCAGGACAGGATTTCTTCAGAGTCCTAATCTCTAGGAAGATGAACACTTCATCAAACCCTTGCATGGATAGCTACCTGCAGGCAGTACTGTTGCGGGTGTGTTCTATGTCCAAAGTGGGTCCTCTCCTCCTTCATGGATGTCTCTTCTTCCTATGTGAGTTGCTACTAAAATGCCCATTCTCCTATGGAAGTGCCATTGCTTGGTGACCTCCTAGATCAGATGATTACACAAAATAAAGAATGGATAAATGGTTGCTTAATACTCCAGAGCATGATTAAATGCTGACATTTAAAAGCCCATAGTTTCTGCAGCAGAGACATAGCCTCTATACTGTTTAAAATAGAGAGGAACTGGAATCTGTGATTCTGGATTTACTGTAGTGAGAGTTAGTTCAGGAGCTGGGGTATGACCTTCAGCTCAAACCAATAGTAAGATTACCAGTCTGGAATGATCTGAGATTTGCCATTAATTGTTTTTTTGTTTTGCACCTATAGCCTTGTGAACTTGTGAATTTTACACGAAAAAACTGCCGTAAGTAGGGAGCATCTTTTACCTCTGATTCTACCTAGTCATTCTTCCTAAATGGAATAGCCTTCATTGGAAACCCTGTAGACTGTTAGTTTGTATCTGGGTTCAGTCTGATGATGACTGGTAGTTGTTAACAGTGGTTTTCAGAGGATGTTTGAAACAAGTTTATGCTTTTTACTCATTTTTCCTATCTCTTAATTACAAAAACTGTAACAAATATTTATTTTCTTCATTTAAAACTGAATGCATTGAGCCAACCTCCTTTGGGAAATTCTCTGAGAGACGGCAATATTTGTGTATCACCTGTCCTCCAGATTTGGAATGTTCATTCTCTCTGACTTGGGTGCTCAGCAGAAGCTGGAACTATTTCTTTAATTCTCATCCAGTAAAGTTGCACTATTTTCGGTATTTGATTGTGAAAGAGGAGTGTTGTCTCTCACTGACAGATTCTGCCAGTTGTCTGAACTTTGGATCAGGCTTTTTAGTGAAAGCAAGTCCCTATTAGTGTAAGAATACATCACTATTTTAATGAATGAGTCCAAAATAATTTACTTGCTCTCCTCTTCATTCCAGCTTGCTCATCAGGTAGGTCCATCTGGTCTCTGCATGTTCATTCTTTTATAGACTTGAAGGAAAAAATAGCAATGTTTGAGTTGAGGAAAGGTTTTCACACAAATCTTTTATTTCAATATACAGACACATGTCCAGTTTACCCAACTGAAGTTGTGTTTGCCTTCGATATGTCTGAAGATGTCAGCCCAGCTGCATTTGAAAGAATGAGAAACATTGTTATGTTATTGCTGAAGAACATTAAGATCAGTGAAAGCAATTGCCCAACAGGTGCTCGTGTCTCCGTTGTTTCTTTCAACACCAATACACGCTATCTCATCCGATTCTCAGAATTCCAAAAAAGCAACTTGCTGCTACGAGCAGTCCAGACAATACCACTAGAGAGATCCACTGGAAAACGTAATATTGGGGCAGCCATGAGATTTGTTGCAAGAAATGTCTTCAAACGTGTTCGTCAGGGCATCCTCACAAGAAAAGTTGCCCTGTTTTTTGCCAATGGTCCATCGCAGGATGACGTTGCCATCAGCACAGCTGTACTTGAGTTGAGTGCCTTGGATATCACTCCAGTGGTTATTGCCTTCAGTGAAGTGCCAAATGTCAGACATGCCTTCGCAGTAAGTAGATAGACTACAGGACATTGAGTTGGTCACCCACTTGCTTAGTAGCTGCTAGTATTCGAGTAAAGCTGCTCTCAAGCCAATAAGTTCTACAGGAACTGTCCGATTGCTTATTGGAAAGGGGTAGATTAAAGGTTACTGTTTTAACAAAGAAACACTGATTCACTTGACCATAATGATCACCATCTGATCTCCTTCTGCACATGAAGTATTTATAACTTGACTTTTAGGCCAGATCACAGAATTTCAATAACATTGTGTTAATTTCACTTTGTTACTTATGCCATTTCTCTCCTGAAGTTGTGACATGCACTAACCATTTAATTAACGAACTGTGGTCCTACTTTCTAAAAAAAGTAGTAGTAGAAGGCTTCAAGTACCCTGGATTTCTTTTCAAAAGAAAATTAAATTAAGCAAACCCCCTTTTGATAGCTGTGTTGGCATTAGTACAGGAGAAAATTAACAACTTCTGTATTAAAATATGATTTAATATAAAAAGATAGTAAATAAAAGTAAGTGATCCATTTTACCAGGTACCAAAGGAAAACAATTATAAGTTTATTTAAGATTTCATAGTATGGCTTCCATGTTCTCTCTCTTTTCAATTTACTTATCATATCACAGATATTATATCATAATTTATTATTAATATTTATCATCTGTGCTCAGTTTTAACTTTTTCAAAATAAAATTGCTTCCAGCTGCCATTTCTTCAAAATTATCCTTATGGAAGAAAACTCTATTTACTTACATGTGACAAAAAGTGTAAAACTTTGACTCCAAGTTCTGATCCAGTATTATCTCAGTTGGCCCTTTAATCTTCATATTGTATTTATTCTCATGCAGCCTCATATCTATTAGTCAATTCAGGTGTTTAGCTGAATGTTAATTTAGCAGAATGAAAAAGTTCTTCTGGCATATAAGAAAGTTTATTGTTCACTCACTGTGTCACTCCACAGGATAAACAGGAAGAAGCATCAGAATTTTGTTAAAGTATAAGCAGATTACAAATCCAAGTGCATTTGGCAACATCTGGTATTTACAAAAGTGACGACTTTCATAAAATAATTTTCAGAGTAAAAAGAGCTGCTTAGCAGGAGGAAAGGCAGAAATTTCAGTGCCCAGCTCTCTTTCATGGTTATGCTGTTGAGAAGGCAACCAACCTCACCACCACCACCCAAGAAAATACAGCCTCCCTTTTCTTTCAAATGGACTTCTGCCCTTGCAGTTGAGAAGTGGTTTAATCTTCCTTATCCTATCAGCCTGTAGCCACAGATACTTACTGGCTTTGGTTAGTTTGCTTTAGGAGCCTCAGTTTGGAGATAATTTAAACAGTCATTGTCAATTCTAATTCCTTTTAAGACTCCTATGTATATCATCCTTTACAGACATTAAGGAGAAGTTGTGTTGTGTTGTGTATAACACACGCAAAGCTTAAGTTTAATGCAAAGAAGTAATTATTTCTTTCCTCACCATTTTAGCTTAGCCATTTTTATGTTCATTTCCTGCAATGTTACGATATTTTGCAGCCTTTTTATCTTAGTCCACAAGGAAATTATTATTGCCTTTCTTCAGCTAATTGCAAGCAACACATAGGTTGTTCTAGTGCTAGAATTTTCTCTTCCAGGAAAATGTCTTCACTGTGGAGGATTTCTCTTTGTCACAGAGAGAGCTGAGATAGGAAATCCTGCCCTTCACTGGCAAAATAAATTAATATCTTTTATCACAGAATCACAGAATGTTAGGAGTTGGAAGGGACCTCGAAAGATCATCCAGTCCAATCCCCCTGCCAAAGCAGGATCACCTAAACTAGGTCACACAGGGACACGTCCAGGTGGGTCTTGAATGTCTCCAGAGAAGGAGACTCCACAACCTCTCTGGGCAGCCTGGTCCAGTGCTCTGTAACCCTTACAGTGAAAAAGTTTTTCCTCATGTTCAGATTGAACCTCCTATGCTCCAGCTTGCACCCATTGCCCCTTGTCCTGTCATTGGCTATCACTGAGTAGAGCCTGGTTTCTTCCTCCTGACACTCGCCTTTACAAATTTACAAACATTAATCTGTAGTGTACTTATCTTTTAAATGTTATTTTTGTGTCTGCTTTAAACATAGATTGATGACACTAGACGAGTTCAATTATTTGTCTGGGAAAGACAACAGGATGAAAGTTTGGAGAGCATCACATATTGTATACTTTGCTTCGGTAAGACATTTTACGAATTCCAGCTGTTATATTGGTCTTCTTAACCTTTAATTAACAAATCCTATAGATTTTATTTTGCAATGTTGTATTGGGGAATTTTTATAGTACATCTTAAACATGTTTGAGCTTAAATATTAAAAAAAAAAATAATTTAATGAACAATGCATTGGATAGAGTCCCACTGCCATAAGTGGTTCTACAGGGAGTCAGCAAAGATGCGTTAAGAGCTGATTCCTTATGTACACTTGCACCAGTCCCATGAGTGGTTGCATGGGGTGCCTCAGCCCAGCTCTGCTGCATAAAAGAGATCTCTGAGTGCTCACATTCCAAGATGGCTACAAGACAAATCTGTAGTGGTTTCTTGTCATCACCAAGAGAAACTTCACTCCCTTACAGGGAGTTGTTCTGACTGTGGCATTCCTACTTCCAGCCAGTTTAACCCCTTCTGCAATTGGGCCTTCTTGCCCTCCATGCCAGGTCCTTGGTTACAGGTTACCACTGCTGAGGAGTTACAATTTGAATCTCCCCTTCAGTGGATGGTAAGAATTAGAATCTCAAAACCACGGAAGCTTTTTAATTAGTTGCGGTCCACAGCCATGTGAAATTAATTATTGTATTTATCTTTGCCTTTTGAACAGAAACAGACTTAAAATAACATTGTGATGCTGGGAAACCAGACTCATTTACTGTAAATTCTACATTGTGGTGGGGGGGAAAGCTACTAATGATAATATTTCAGAATGCTGAACTGTCCTGTTTTAATTGGGGCAGAATTTTAGGGTCAGTCTTCTGTTGAGGAAAGCTGCAGTTTTATAAGAACTACAACACTATTTCATGGGAAAAAAGTTGATAAAAATGTTGTTATAAGTTTCAGCTAATACTGTTATGCAGGCTGCCATAGTGCTTAAGTTCTTCTGTAGTCTTGACATGAACATGTGCAGAGGCTGGGAGAAGCAGAAACCTAGGAGAATCAACCCCAAAGTGACCCCAGGCTGACCAATTAATACTATTCATACCATCAACATCACGTTCACTATAAACTGAGGAGTTTGCTGGGGATGGTCCTTCTCCTCTTCCTCTCCCTCCTGCTCCCTCTTCTGTGGCTGACATATTGAGAGGGACTTGTTTACTGTCCTAACCCTGAGGCCTACTCATCCACAATGTTGGCTAACTCTGAATTTAGTATTATAACTGTTATTAATATTAGATTATTATTATTTTATTAAATATATTTCTATTCCAACACACAAATCTCCTTCCCTTTTCCCAACCCCCCTCCCCACATGAGGAGGAGACATTGGGTGATAAAGCAACTGTACAAACCATGATCTGAACAATGATCTGAGATGAAAAATAGGATTTGTTTTAGTTTCCTTTACAATGTTTAGATTTCAACAGAAGAAAATTTTTCAAGGAAACTCTTATGTTAAGACCTTATCAATGCTTTTTGCTGTGATGCCTGAATAATTTCCCATGTTATCTCAAAACCTTGTTCAG